ATGATCAGAGGGCAAAGGTTGAGGGTGTACAATAGGGGTGTTGCACTGGAAAACGAAGTGAGTTTATAAAAACAAACATCTGATCTTGTGGCTCATTTTCTTCTCTTTTTCTCTCTCTATGCCCCTTCTCTAAACAAAGCCAAAATTTTATAGAGAGAAGCTCCCTCTTCTCTCTAGGCAATTGGAAATCTCCCCGCCGACCGGAAATTGCTTCCACCGGCGGCTCCAGCCTTAGCGGCTGTAGGACCACCGCCCATCCCAGATCTCTGGTTAAAGCTCAATTGGGATCTTCATATCTTCATCCATGCTACCGTGGGAAACTCAGAACCACCATAGATCTTCATCTGGGTTCTTATGAACCCTAACAACTTCATCCAAACCCATGAACCCTAAGTTAACCCTAACCTTATCTCCTAAACCTAATCAGACTAAACAAACCTAATTTGTTAACTCAAACACCCTAACTTCAAATCTCCAACCCTAATATGTTCTAACCTAAACCTAAGTGAACCCTAAATCCCCAAATTCCCATGAACCCAGAACCAAATCACGCGTCAAACATTATAGTCAAACCCTAAAGTTAAGAGTTCTTAAGCTTACTTGAATCTATAGTTAATATTTTCGCTCTGATTCTGGTTCCTCCGCCTAATCTCCTCTTCTTTCTTTAATTCACAAGTATGAGGCGCGGCGGAGATGATAGAAGCGATGACACTTGAAGATCTTAGGGTTTTTCTTCAGAAGCCCTAGATCGGTGGGTCGAGCTCCGGCGTTAGTGATTTCGTGATTGCAAATTCAAGCCACTCTTCCTCTACTCCTTCTTTTTTAAAAATCTGGTCCCTTTCTCTTAGAACTTCTAGGGTTTTTATAGTGTTTTAGAGTTAGATAGATTAGGAAATTTGCTATGTAATTTGTTGTTACTCGTTAATGATTGATTCTGATTGAATCAATCTTAAGAATTGATTGTAAATTAGGTTTTACACATGTTGTATATTGATTTTAGAAAGATTTTGTTTGAAATTAGGGTTTTGTAATCTGTATTTGGACCTTGTTATTGCGTAGATTCGTTTTCAGTAAATAAAACCAATATTGATTTCCAGATTATATTCCTACAGTACATATTATCCGAGTTTGATTACTTGCTTAGGGACAAAGAGTCCAATTTTGGATGCAGCAGATTAGATCTAGGGTTTTCACCCTTGTTTGACTTAGTCAACAAAAACAGTAAAAATAATAATAATAATAATAATAATAATAATAATAATAATAATAATAATAATAATAATAATAATAATAATAATAATAATATTAATTAATAAAAGATTTATCATAATAATTAAAATAAAAAAAAACATTATTAAAATTAATGTTGACTTAGTCAACAAAATTTAAAAAAAGGGCTTCGCTCAGGAAAAAACAAATGGGCCAACCATCTCTCCTCATTGGCCCTTCAGCTTTCCAAACGCACCCTCTTTTGTTCTATTGCAAATGGTCTTAAAGATTTAGATGGGGCCTTTATGATTTAGAAATCCCACAAACCCTTAATTGAATCACACTCCTTTCTTATTATTTAAAACGAATAAAATCTTTAATGGGTCATCAGATCTTGATGGTCCATACACTCCTCTTTTAACTTTTTAAACCGCTATACCAAAAATAGATAAAAATTAATTTAATAACAAACTTATTAGGATTCAATCAAAAATGACTAAAAAGGACAAATTGATTATTGATACCCTTGAACAAATTTTGGATATGACACTTGTTTCTCTTAACTCAAACAAAAAAACAAAATTAAAATCATTATAAACCTATCTTAATGGTTTAAAAAACGGTTGCGGTTGCTTTTAAGTCTCATTAAAAATTTTGAAATATAGATCGATACATGTCTGTTAAGCATAGTTTATTCTTGGCAATTTCTCTTTACACTCTTATGCATTGGGACACACCTCTAAAATCCCTAAAACACCCTTAGGGGTTTTTGAAGATACATCATCGAGCGCACCAAATCCCATTTTTTGCCAAAAATTAGTTCAAGATACATATCTGAATTTTTCTAAGGTTAATTTAGAGATGTATCTCCAAAAATATCAAAGAAGATTTACAGTGTTCAATTTCAAATGGTGTTAACTACATTCAAGACACAGTTCTATGCGAGTTTAGGTAACTTTGATTTTGGAGTAAAGCTCGATGACATCATCAACTAGCGAATCAAAACTAGGAATATAGCAATGAAGACCTTCTGAAAGATCAAATCCTAGATAATCCATAACAAAAACTCCACATCCAACACATGCCAATTTTCTAGATATTCCTGCAATTAATTTCATGATATGATTGAATTGGTATTCAATGAGATAATTGAGATACTCGTAGAAACCAAAACTTAACCAACTACCAGATAACTTTAAAGAAAAAGGTGCAAATGTCTCCATAACCATGGCAGTAAAACACAGATGCTTTCGGCCTTGTAGTTCCGGGAAACCAACTCTTGTAGAAGATTTCTACACTCTTTGCCTAGTACGAATGTTGCAAAGGGTCAAGTGATGCAAAATTAGAAAGGAGGAGAAAGTATTACATACCATTACAGTACAATGACAAGATAAGATTGATGCCAACTAAAAGCAATACTAAGAAAATCCTCATTTTAAAAAATTGGAGATGTGTAATGGTATTTTAAGAGATACATCTCCGAATTAACCTTAAAGAAATTTGGAGATATATCTACGAACTAAATTTTTGTATAAAAAATGAGATTCGGTGCGTCCAGAGATGTATCTGCGAAAATAGGGGGAAGTTTTGAAATTTTGCCATAGTACTGGGGAAGTTTTTGTGTAAAGCCTTTTTTTTTTGTTCAATCTTCTTTGAATATATTTAGGTGTAGGTTTAGCTCACATATATGATTAAAAAAGTGTAGGCAAAAGCAAATAGCTGATAACGTATGTATGTCAGTTATAAGCCGATAATGTTTTTTATTTTGAGAAACATTGCAAATTAGTATGTTCTTATTATTTCTTGCTTCCGTTATTGAATTTTTTTACTAGTTACAATCATTTGTATATTTTTCCGATCAAATTATATTTTTTCCTAAAAAAATTGATTTTATTATCTATTCTTCTTGACCTTAATAATTTGAAGTCTTCTCCTTCTAGTCTGAGTGGATGCAATAACTCTATTTGCCATAACTTCTCCCATCAATAAGTTTAGATCAGGAAGAGCTATTGGGTATTACTATTACTATTGATGTTACGGCCCAATAAAATTAAAGAAGGTCTATGCTCTGATTCTGATGATTGGGAAGCATTTGTATCTCTATTTGTTAAACTTGGTGTTGCTCCTTCTTTTATTCTCCATTTTCAACCGTTGATTTTGAGTTATTGACTAAACCCTTAACTTAATCATCCAATTGCACTTTCTCATCAATTTTAAATTAGTGTAACCACACTACAAATAAATAATAATTTTAATAAATCAAAAAAATATTAATAAAATCAGAAAATGAAACAAACAGGTCCAAAATCAAAGGAAAATTACTAGTAGAAAATACCTCTTGCTTCCTCGTTGTCATACCCTAAATTTGTCCTACCCCTTTATAAAGATCATCTGATTTATGAATCTCGCATCCTTCATGTACATACTCCTCATTAGGTCATCTAATGTCGCACACATCATTAATCTGTAAATGGTCATGGGACCGATGTATTTCTTTTTGGAAGCTACAGATAAAAAAGATTGTCCCGTCGGACAGCAACAAGGAAAAATTCTAGTTTTTCAAGGTTTAAATGTGTTCCACATGTTTCGTAAGCTATCAAATCAATAATCTATCAAGTCATCATCATGCCAATCTCCCATGTATTTCAACACACTCTGAATTGCGAAGAAATCAAGCGTTTCAGCGAATTTGAGACGGTGCGAACCAGAAACAACATTTTTGTTGATTTGAGCTTAGGAATTCACAACTTTCAATCAGGATATTGTATTGAAATTGTTCCTCGGGCATTGGAACCGTCTCAATATTTTATTCATTTCATATTTTCAGACTGGAAGTCAATTCTATGAAGAAAGTCCACAAAGACTACGATTTCTCTGAAACGGTTTTTGAATTTAATTGTTGGTTGTCTATTTCTCAGGTGTTCGAAAATTCGTAACTTTCCTCCGATTCAGTTTTTTCGTTTAATTATTTGTGCGTTGAGAAAGTCTTAATTTTCTTATCATTTCTTGTGTTCATATCAGAGCTAATTTTGTGAAGAAGATCTCCTGTAATTTTAATTCATTGAAGACAGTTCATTGAATTTAACTATCGGTCTGCCATTTCGCGGGTACTTAAAAATTCATAACTTCTTATTGGAATATTTTTTTAGAGTGGTTCTTAAGACGTTAAAATCGTCTTAATGTCATCTTCATTTTGTATGTTCGGGTCGAAGACTGGTTCTTTGAGAAAGATCCACGTAAAGGTGAATCACCAGAGAAATTATTGTGTTGAAGCAGAGTTCCAGTTCACTATTTCTCGATATTGTAAGATTTGTCACTTCTTCGATTTTTATCGTACCCAGACGATTCTCGCGGCATAATTTCAGAAATTGTGTTAGCTACAAGTTTTCTTCAGGGCACGAGTTCAGATCTTTCTCATAAGACATTCGTTCATGGCATTCTTTCCAAACTGAACAGTGAAATAAGTTGGAAATCCAACGCAAGCTAAAAATTGTGGAATTTAAACTTCGGTTTCTCGCCATTCAAAAGTTCATAACTTTATTTTCATTTATCCGATTGAGCCGATTCTCGTGTCCAGATGTTACGAATTTCGTCGTCTTTGATTTTGCTTTAGAGCCTGAGTCTGGATTATGCACAGAAAACAATGAGCTTATGATTTGTTTGTTGACATGTACTTAAAATAAGCCGAAATTCCGACATTAGCCAAAAACAAAGGATTTTTACACTCCCTTTTGTCAAGCCAAACAAGACTGAACAGTTGGTCTATAAATTCCCAAACCCCAATTTTCGTTCACTTTTCCCTCACTTTTTATCCATGCACTCAAATTCTCTCTATTCTCCCTCCAGTTTTTTCGCTGGAAGCTTTTTCTCCCTCCCTAGCACTGTCGCGCCACCGATCACTTCCCTCCGATTACAACCCTCCAGACACCATCCTCTCATTCATGCACGAACTACTGCTGCAGGATCCCCTTTGTTTGTGGCTTAGATCCGTCACAGATCTTCTCCCTCAGTTTTCTTTGTTTCCGACGCCGATCAACACCATCGGCAGCAGCTCCGATTCCGTCCAACATCATCCTCCTCCAATTTCCTCTTCAATTTTGGTAAAGCAATTTTCTCCTTGATTTAATTGATTTAAGTGCTTAGCATAAGTGATTTTTTATATAAATGCTTCATTGAGAATTCATGAGTTGATTTTGATTAAACTCTTGAAAGTTAATTGTTCTTGAATTGTTGAAGATGAATAAATGTGGAATGGGTTAATTGCTTTAATTTAGTGAAGCTTACGCGTCAAAACCGGTAAAAAAATTATAATTCCTAATTAAAGTGTCGAAATTGGACTCCGATTTGGTGCCTTGTGCATAATTAATGATTTCACATATCGGAATCGAATTTTGATACGTTTAATTGGTTTCGACGCGTAGAATAATTTTTGACTTAATGCTTGGGAATCGATACCGGTATAGATGTAATTCATTACAATTGTTTGTGAATTTTAGGCAATATTTCCATAGTCAATAATTGTTTTCGATATGTCCGAATGAGGTTTTGAAATTCAATCTATTGACGTTCATCGATTCATGAGTAATGCTGCCTGGAATACTCGAATACATTGTAATTGATGCTCTAATTGTTGTTTAACACATAATCAATATTGTTTTGGTTATTGTGTGATATCGAAGTGGAGTTTTAGCGGTTTAAATTCGATTTTCCAAGCTATTCCATGAGTTTAACGCGTTGCTGCCCGTTTTTGTAAGTTGAGCATAAGGTTTATTTCAATTGATGGATAATGCCCGATTGAGTTTATTCCGGTACTTGGATGACATCTATGTCAAGTGTTATTGATTTCGGATCAATGTTTTGTGCATTATCATCTTATAGATGTCGTGCCACAGAAATGAAAAGTGAACTTAACATGTGTTTTAATTATTGGTTCATGAATAATTAGGCTTGCTTAGGCTTTTGTTTGGGATTGACATTGAGTTTGCGCAATTTTTAAATCGATATTTTTGAGCGTCTTATGTGTAATATAATGTTGTCCGGAATTTATGATCACATGTACATGTCATTTCAATTTGCATTTTATGTTTACTTGTGCATAATTGATCATTTCATGAGCATTAATATTGAGTTTTCTTGATTTCGATACAAGTTTCTGACTAATTTCACGTTTCTATATAGTGTTGTCCGGAATTTCATTTGAAATGTACATATCGCGTTAATTGTCATTTGATGTTTGCATGTACATAATTGATCATTTCATAAGCATTGGTGATGAGTTTTCTTGCTTCCATGAATTTTACCGATTAATTCCATGTATGCATACCATGTTGTCTGGATTTATAAACGAACCTTAAAGCTTGATTTTATTGTTGGTTAACAAGTCACTGTACTTGCTTTTGTTCATGTATGACATTTGTGATGATTCCAATTGATTTTAAACCAACTTTTCGCACACTTCAAATTGTGAAACAATGCTACTCGGGTATTCTAAATGCATGTACATTCGTGTTTCAATTATTGATTGATGCATCCATAATTGCATTTGAGCATTTGTAAGATATTGATGATGAATTATTGCGGTTTTGACTTTAGATTTTGAGTCATTCCTTGTATGAGCGTGTTGTTTCCCGACTTTTAGTTTTCATCTTCTGTTGCTTATTTGTACCTTGTTCCTTTGCATTTCATTGTTATTTTTGAGTTGTAATTCGATACTTGGTTTGGTTTATGTTATCCAAAACGGTCTTCTTATTTGTTGGTTCTGCTTCTTCTTATCAGAATTTATAAGATGACTTCTCTACATCCTACCGCACTCAAGCTAATCAACAAAAAAAACATGGATCTGTTTGAACAGAACCAAAATGCACTTCGTAAAGACATGGACACCATAGGGGAAGAATGAATCAGCTTATGGAGACCCTTCACGCTGATATCCAAGGAAAGGAAGAACTCAGTCATAATGTCGCCAAACTTGTCAATAATGCTTCCACTTCTGAGAATGAAGGACCTAAGACTGCAAATAGGGGACTCCTAAAGGGACTCCTCAGGTTATAATGGATGATTATCACAATGTTATCGATCTCAATGAACTGCAGAATGATATTACTACTGACTTATCTGAAACTGCCAAAAATGTATGATGCTCTTGAAGAGCGCCTCAAGGCTATGGAGACTTCCAATAAGCCTGGTTTCAATGCTGCTGCGATGTGTCTGATTCCTGTGGTTGTTATTCCTCCGAAGTTCAAGGTTCCAGATTTTGAAAAATATAAGGGAACCACTTATCCTAATACTCATCTCTGTTCTTACTGCAGAAAGATGGCCGCCTATGCTGATAATGAGCCGCTACTTATGCATTTTTTTAGGATAGCCTAGATGAGGCTTCTTTAGAGTGGTATATGCAACTCGATCGGACTCGTGTTAACAATTGGGGAGAACTTGCTATGCTTTCCTAAAGCATTACCACTACAACACTGCTATGGCACCCAGCCGTGCTCAGCTTCAGAGCATGTCATAGAAGACTGGTGAATCTTTTAAGGAATATGCCCATAGGTGGTGTGGACTAGCTGCGAGAGTCCAACCTCCCCTCTTGGATCGTGAGTTGGTTGATCTATTCATGAAACCCTACGATTTCCTTATCTTCAGCATATGCTTGGAAGTACTTCAGATTCTTTCTCAGACATGGTTATTATCGCGGAACGTCTTGAGATGTATGTTAAGGCTGGTATTATTCCTGGTGCATCTGGCACTAATAACAATAATTATGGTAATGGTAAGAAACCCTATTTTGGTTTTGTTAAGAAGAAGGAAGGTGAGTCGAGTAATTCATCTATCGACAAATGGAATGTTGTTCAGTTTCCATATTATCCAACTCCTACTGTTGTTCTGCAACAACAACATGCACCTCCCCAGAATTACCAACAGCAAAATCATAGACCTCAAGGGCAAAGGGGTCAACGGAGACAACAAAGTTACCCAGGAAGAAAGTTGGATCCAGTTTGCATGACATATGCTCAACTCCTTCTACAGTTACTTGCTAGTCAATTGGTTTAACTCCGTGAACTTGGTCCTCCTCCCGATTCCATCCCTCGGGGTTATGATTCCATGCTCATTGTGAATTTCATTCAGGGCCTCAGGCCACACAATCGAGAATGGTAGGGCATTGAAATACAATGTCCAGGAACTCTTTAATGTCAAAGCTATCATATTCACTCCAAAGGGTCCAAATATGGATTGAATCCTTTTGATCAGACAGGCACCAAGACTGCAATTGCATCCCCTCAAATATGTCAAGCCTGAAGAAGTCTCCTCAGCACTGGAAATCATTAGATCATTTCTGCATTGTCATTTGTAATTTTTGTAATTTTCCTTGTGTGTTAAATGCTACTTGCTCGCATGTAAACTCGATTGTTTTTTAATGATAATAATAATACACTGCATATGTTTGTTTCGAATTAATTCATTTGTGTTCATTCATTTATTTTCATGTTTAATGATATCAAACTCTTGTTTAAAGCAAAAATTAAAAGGATAATGATGAAAACAAAATGCGTGAAATTGTTGGTCGTATGCTTTTGAATAAAACCCTACTGACGATGTAAGGCAGTGCTTCAAATCCCGAAACACCGGAAATATAAGGGAGTGAAACCCTCGTTAACCCCTTCGGACCATGAAGTAGGAGTTTCTTTCTATACGAAAAAACCCTCAATATTAACCCGGGTCAGGGTAGTATTCAGTTAATTTGACCATGTGTTCATATTTCAAAAGAAAAAAATGAGTGTCCTATCTGAGGATCAACCATATGTTATCCCTCACACATCAAGAGGTCACAAAAATGAAAGACCATGATGGTTACCCCTCATCAACCAAGGAATGAGGTAGTCACAATCCTTTCAGAAATTCAAAAGCCAATGTCACACGGTTTTTCAAAAAAGAAAAGAAATTGAAATGAAAAAGAAAGAAAGTCTGCTAAGTCGAAAACTTGAAAACAAGTGACTTAGAAAAAATTAGGGCATCCTGCTAGACTTCAAAATCAAAAAGCCGGTCCAGGAAAAAGTTAGGGAAAATTAAAGCAAAAGGAACAAAAGAACAAAAGAACAAAAACAAAAAGGATTACAAAACAAAAATCTCAAGCAAGAACAAATTTGTGTGACCAAAAATGCAAAAATGAAAAAGGGTGATTGTCACTCCAAATACTTCGGTGGTTCCTCAACCATCACTTACGCTTATAAAACCTTTTGTAAGGTAAATACTCGTGTCAAAATAACTGAATGTAGGACCGGAGAACATCACAGAGAATGGTGGTTTAGGTTAGACTTTGAGCCTTAAATCTTTTTTTCTCGAAACCGTGAACCCGACCATGTTACAACCCTTAAAAGATATCATTGAAGCAAAGGTTTATTTCGAAAGCATACTACAGAAAAGTTTGCGTAAAACTGACTCCTAGACATTTGCTTATCATTTGTGTTGATATCGATATGACAAATAATTTAAAAACTAAATGTCACAACATCGTTTCAATAACGTTGATTTCGAAGCTAACATAAGCATTGTATTAGGATTATCATCCTTAAAGAAATCATCTCTTATTGGCGAGTAAAAATTTGGCGGCAAGGAAGATTAAACAATGAACAACTGCTGGAAATTTTGATCATTTCTAAGAGCTAGTCACTTCAAAGATGTGCACCTCTAAAATGCGAATTGCATGAAGAGTTTGTCAAACTAGGGGCATCCATTACAAGTTGATCTCAATAAGAGGCTATCACGTCGATAAATCTCTTTAAACTATAACCAATCAGGGGTAATCACGTCTAGAAATCTATTCAGAATTCTTTCAACCTGAGGCAGTTACGTTGAGATTCGACAAATATCTCCAAGAAATTGGCAATCAGGAGCAGTTTATTTCATGACCCAAGACATTGGGGTAGGCCACCTCATATCGTATTGTGGTACGAATATTCCAGTCTTCTATTCAGCGCAGATTCTTCCAGAGATCATACAAAGGGGTATTCCTCCTTCATGCTTGCGAAGATGCTCAAGAGATTTCTGTCATATGAAATGACAACAATCAGGATAAAAACATCATGACGGTCACCTTGACCTAGCCAACATTGCAAAAGTTTTTCTCATCCCCTGAAGATATTCCAAGTATACTCCTCGACAGTAGAGTAAATCGGCGCACCCGAGGTTTTGTATGCGGCTCAGCGCACATATTCAGCATGTTTCCCTAACAAAAGTGTAAACTTGGGGCACCCAGAGTCTTTGTATGATTCAGCACATGCATGTGTAATTCCCCAGTAGAGTAAGCGTGGGGATTCGGGAGTTTTTACGTGGTTCAACATGTAATCCCCATAGAATCATCCTCTAATCTTCAACAGAGAAGTAAACTGGGGCAGTTGAAACAACCGACCGAACATCGATTGATAATATATCAATGAAGTCTCCATCGAACATTTTTTATCCTATAGGAAGGGAAAGGTGAACATCGAGAAAACCATGGTCTTTCGACTAAGATATTGGGTAAGGAAATATGTTACGCAAGGGGAAGGTGTTATCACCCCTCACACCCATGGTACTCTATGGTATGCACTCTTGTTTGCTACTTCTAAGGGTGTGTTTAAGCTATATCTATGATTAAAGGGAAAATGAAAAGGGAATGCATGAAAAAAGATATGTGGAGAAAATAAAAAGTGTTTACAATTTGTGCTCGGTTAGGCTCCGCAACCCCTTGCCTAAGTATCCCTTTCGGGGAATCAGAGCACCGTAATTCGGCTTAAATGTTTTGGTTTGTTTTACATTTTTTTAATGGAACAATATTAAGTTTGGGACTTCTTCATATCTTCAATAGTTTTAAGTAATAATTCTAGTTTCTGTTAACACAAACAAAACAAAAAAACAACATTAAAATCAAGTTAAACATATCAATATGGTTTTTAAAAATGGTTGTGGTTGCTTTGAAGTCTCATTAAACCTTTTGTGATTTCGATTGATACATGTGTATTAAGCATAATTTATTTTTGGAAATTTCTCTTTACACCCTTATAGGCGCACCTCTGAAAATCTAAAATTTTTTTTTGATATTTTTAGAGATACATTTCCGGACGCACTAAATCCTATTTTTTAATAAAATTTAGTTCAAAGATACATTTCCGAATTTTTTTCAAGGTTAATTCGGAGATGTATCTCCGAAAATACCACAAAAGATTTGCGGTGGTCAATTTCGACATGGTGTTAACTACATTCAAGACCCAATTCTATACGAGTTTAGTTACCTTTGATTTTAGAGTAAATCCAGATGACATCATCAACTAGCGAATCAAAACTAGGACTATAGCAATGAAGACCTTCTGAAATACCAAATCCTGGATAATCCATAGCAAAAACTCCATATCCAGCACATGCCAATTTTCTAGCTATTTCTGCAAATAATTTCATCATATGATTAAGTTGGTAATAGATAATGGAGTTTATTTAGATGCAAAGATGCAAGTGTCTCCACAGCCATGGTCGTAAAACATAGCTGCTTTCGGCCTTGTAGTTCCAAGAAGTCATCTCTTGTAGAAGATTTATACTCCCTTTGAATTCACTTCGAATGACTATTGCAAGGGATCAAGTTATGCAAAATTAGAAGGGTGGAGAAAGTATTACATATCATTACAATACAATGACAACATGAGATTGATGCCAATTTAAAGTAATACTAAGAAAATCCTCATTTTAAAAATTCAGAGATGTATAATGGTATTTTCAGAGATACATCTCTTAATTAATCTTTAAAAAATTAAAGATATATTTCTGAATTAAATTTTAATAAAAAAATGAGATTTAATGCGTTCGGAGATGTATCATTAGAAAAAATGGAATGCAAGATAGGAATGAGATTTGATGCGTTCGGAGATGTATCATTAGAAAACAAAGTAGAGTGGTTTTGAGAATAAACTAAAGTGATAGGTTTTTTAGTTGAAAAAGGAATCCATAGCAAATATTGTTGCTTCATTAGTTCATTATAGTAAGCAGGGCAAAAAAAATAACACCTTTAATAAAATAAAATTTAGTTAAAAAAAAGAGAGAAAAGAAATATGACAGCAAATAATGTTATATAGATATTTGTATTCTGCTATCTTATTTTCAAAGATATTTCCATGGCTTTTAAGCATGTGAGCTATTCTTTCCAAACATGTCGTCTATTAGAGTAATTTAAATATTTCAGTCGGAATCATAATGGAACAGAAACTGACTTCTGTGACATCACTAGCAACTAACAACTTCAAGTCTATTTTCATGGCCACTAACAGAAACTGACTTCCGAGACATTCATTACTACTTTCAATTCCCTAAAAATCATGATTTACTATTCCATGGCATGCATTGGTTTG